TAAAAAAATCAACGCACCAAATTATTGCGCTAAGTCTGCGGACAAACTAAAATTTCTGTTAGCACTTAATAATAATATTAATATTATAATAATAACGATATTATTATAATACTAACGATAATACTAAATATTAATATAATAATAATGTCAACAACAATAATAATTCTAGTAATATAAGAATGCACCAAATCTTTATTTTCCCTCGATGACAGAAACAAATACAACAAGAACAACTAAATGGCCGTCTAAATATATTTATTATTTTACTTTATTTCGTATTTATAACATTAAATTTAATTATAATGTAAGGGGGGGAGAGATGCCTCCGTGTCTACAAACCAAATGCAAAAACAGAAGCAACGCTGCTCAACTGCATGCAAACAAACGAGTAAGTGAAGATATTGCAAAGTAATAAATACGCAAAATAGCAGCAGCAACACCAGGATACAGCAAACTGAAAGAGGAGGCGAAGCAGCAGCAGCAGCAGCAGCAGCAGCAGCAGAAGCGCACCTCCTTGCGCAGTTTTCCGAGTTCCTCTTCGAGGTTTCGGTTTAAGCGGAGCCCCTTTAAGTCAATTGCCTTAACAGCAAGTATGGTATCCTCTGCTGCATGTTTCTGCTGCTGCTGCTGCTGCTGCGGTGCATTTGCTGCAGCAACGATTTTGCATTTAAAGACAGTAGAAGCACTGCCTGAGCCGATGGCATCCAACAATTCATAAACATCGCCCCCACTACCTGTAAACCAACGGCCTGTCTCCAAGCCAAGGCGAAAACGAGGGTTTAAAGCTGCATCTGATGCTGCTGCATATGCAGCGGGATCCTTAACTGCTGCTGCTGCTGCTGCTGCTGCTGCTGCTGTTGCTGCTGTTGCTGCTGCTGTTGCTGCTGCTTGAGCTGGCGTTTGAGGCGTGGGCATTACATCTTCAGTCGATGATATCTGCATCTCCTCTGCAGTTAAATCGGCGGTGCTGGTGGAGACATCGGCTCGCTCGGGGCCCTCAGCAACGAAGTTTGCCATAGATATGGAGGCTGGGCCCTTAAGGGAAGCAAAATGAGGGAAATGTAGCAGAAAATAAATCTAAAAGAAGATTAAGAGAGGAAGGTATTGTTAACTGACGCAATGAAACAAGTAACAAACACTCAAACACACAACGCATGCATGCAGCACGCCAAAGACAAATATTTTTGCAGGTTAGAATAATTACTCAACACACAAGTGGTGCAACATTTGACGAAGAAACAAATACTAATGAGGGTTTACAACCACCCATATAACTCAAGTAAGACAAAATGCCGCCTGCTTCGCTAGACAGCCTGTTTACCGTTGTTGTAAGGGCTTCAACTTCTTCAGGGCCTACCACAGCATGTTTGGCTATGTAGCTGCGTCGTGATCTCTTTGTTATATATAGGGTGTTGTGCCACTTAGAGGAGAAAACTTGAATAAACAATGACTTGTGTTCAAATAAAACACATACGAAAAAGAAAAGACGGAAAAACTAGCTGCCGATTTCATCTCCAGTTTCTTCTGGAGGCTGAAACAGAGCCCACGGCTTAAGAGCCCGAATATTGTGCAAAGAGGTATATACGAAAACCCTAGCGCTTCATAATTCGTCTAGCTAATGAATAAGGGGCATTCAGTAATGCGAGGAAACTGGAATTCAAAGCAATGACCTGCTACTCATCGCCTAGCTCCTCCCAGGGGGCGTGTAAACACAAAAAGTGGAGGAGGATAGAATATTCAACAATATAATTCTAGAAAACGCGTAGTAGTTTGCAGTATACTGTCTATTACTAAGCGTAGGGAGGGTGGTTTTCAATAAACCTGAAGAGGTTGAGGTGTCTGTACTCCATTCCGGTGATCGCTGAATATCCTGAATATAAGTAGAGCGGTTTCCATGACCTTTTTGCCCCGATTGTCTGGGATCTGTAACTAAATTGAAGTACCATTGTACATTTGACTTGTTTTTCCGTAAAATGATTGTCAGCAGTGAAGAAGTGCAGCGCAAATGCGCGGATTCTCCGCGTTTCGGTCAGGCGTTAACTGGGAAGAGGATTAGAAGTTCTGCTGAAGAGCGGAAAGCAGCGAATATTTCCGCTCCTCCTCAGGCTCTTATTTTGCTCCGAAAGCTTTCACAAGATGGCATCCGCGGTGAGAAAGACTAACGTCGCTTCCTTTTCATTACCGCTTTACCTCCTCGTTCAACTTTTCGTAGCTAGTGCACTCAAGGGCAGACTCAACACGCTTTCAAAAGCGGCGAATCAACAACACCAAATCGCGGATAAATTTATCTACACTGTTAGCGAGCGCTGCGATCCCATTTTCGGCGTTCTTTCTGATTTATCTGAAGCGTTGCGCGCCGACTGCCTGCATTCATTTCCTATCGTTAGCAAAGCCCTCGACGAGCTCATGCAGAGCGCCATGGGCGTGTCGAAAATGCTTGAAAAGCTTACAGAAAGAAAAGGAAACACAGACAAGGAAAACGCCAGGCTACAACACGAAATATCAACTCTTCGCCAGTCTGCAGCAGAAAGGAAGCAGGCGAACAAAGAGGTGGGAATTTCTATATACGTACATATTGGAAGCAGCTGCAACTAAATAATTGAAAACATCTCCTCTTGACTACTTTTCATACTTAACAATTACCTTTTTATCTGCAGCTAGAGGAAGCCATTACCTCGATTAAAAACAACACGGAGGAGAAACAGAGTGGGCGTTTATTTGTGGAGTCTACAACGCGACCCATTGAAGAACGCGTGCGTTGTTTGTTATATCATACTTTTGGTTATGTTTTTATAATATTATTTTAAATGTATTTAATTCCCTGTTTCACACAGGCTGAACAGAGGCGCGAGATTTGCCTTGCAATTCAAAACGAATGCAAAATACAACAAAGTACAAACGAGGAATTGAAGGGTCTCCTCCTGCGCATGCAAAAGGCCCAGGAGGTTTGGTTGAATGACCAGAAGGTTTCTTTGGATAAGCTTGTGCGCATATCTTTGCTTATAACATTAGTATAACAAAGAAAATGCATAAGCGCTGCGTTAATATCTGCGCCTTAGCATCAGGAGGAGAAAAACTACTCCACGATGGAGGCGCAGCTGCAGAAGGAGACAGCAGCCCTTGAAAAAGAAATAAACCATTTTATAGAAATGAATAGAAAAGAAGAAGCTGCTTTCGCAGTGCTCAAAGCACAACTCGACAGTCAAGGGTTTTGTGTTGACCTCCTCTTATCTAAAACATCCACCACTGACGAGGAGACGAAGGAATTAAATCAGGTAAATTGAAGCAAAGACAGAGAAAAACAATGTTTATTTTATTCTTCTACACTGTCTTGTCGCATCCAAACAAATGTCGTTTCCTCCCTGAAATGCTCATGCATGCGTTCAACAGCATGCAAATATATTCTACATGCCTTCTGCCGTACAGATATATATATATATATGCGTAGAAAAGACACTTACATGTAGATAAATAACTGCATCTGTATATATATATATATATGTATATATATGCGATAACAGTTCTCTATGGGCATGATCTGTAGGCATTAGCTTCTGTCCAAAAGCAAAGGGAAGAGTTGGTGCGGAGCATCGACGAAAGCGAACGTCTGCTTCCTGGCGTTCTATCACTGGTGCGTTTTAATTATTTTATATTCAACGTTATATATACACATATATGCATACATGTATGTATATATATGTACATGTATATATATATATTTGTATATTTATATGTATATGCATACATACAATGTATGCATACACCTTTATCTGAAAATACTAAAATAACGAAGCATAAATAATGAAGCATCTCCTGCAGATTGAAAGGAAGGAAGCCGCGTTACGAGAGCAGATGAGGTGAGTGGAAAGGCATATTCTTTGCTTTCTTTGTTGCATGCACTCAGACAACAACAACAAAATGAACAAACTGCAAACAGCAAGGTGGCGAAGGCAGAAGAAATGCATGCAAATCTGCTGCAGCAAATTCGCTGCTTAAAAGAAGAAGTCATTGGCTGTCGCGCAGCAACAGAGGCAGCAGCTTCGCGGTTGCAGGCAGTGGAGAAGAAGAAAAACAAATCAAAGGAGACAGCACAAGAAAAAGTAATTCAAAATGTTATTATTATAAATCATAAAAAGCATTTTGTTGTAGGAATAATAATAGAGTAGAAATAAACAACAAGAATAACACAAAATCGACGTACAAACGCAACAGATGCCCCGCATTAAACGCAAATAATAAATTAAATTCATTCTAAGCATTCACATGAATATGTAAACATGCATAACCTTATTTAAATGCATATATATATATATAACATATATACGCCTGCAAGCAAGCATATACATTATATCTATAATATATGTGTAGAAATAATAGTTTTATATTATGCCGTGGTAGATAGAAGCCCTAAGTGTATTAAAAGTCTCTTCCTAAGCTTGGCCTGCTCACTGTACTTCGTGAAAAGAATTTATTTATATTTCTTCTGCTGCAGGCCAACCAAATTTTTATGTTTTTAGAAGAAATGCAAATTTATTATCGTGTCGAAGCATCGCCAGCTGAAGTCGCCGCAACTGCAACCAAAGGAGCAGCAGAAAGGGTAAGTTGTATTATTATTATTATTATTATTTAGTTTTTCTTACTGTTTTCAATGCATGATTACTGTTGTTTATGTCTTTTTACTACTATTATTATTGGAGTGTTATTATTACTAATGCCTTATGTTCATTTACTTTTCTCGTTGTTGATGGATGAAGTTTTGTTACATTATTATTGCTAATGCATCATTATTATGAATGCAAGTTTAGAATAGAGGTATTGTTGCTTTTAGCATGTCGATGCATTATTACTACCCATGCATTATCATTCCTACTGGTGTATCATTACTATGAAAGAATGAATATATGAATGTAATATGAAAATACGTGGTTTAGCCTTATGAATTCAATACGTTATCACTTTGAGCTTTTTATTAACTAAGAGGCATATCTAAAGCCAGCGATCTTTTTAGTAGAGTTTGTGAATGATACGTAGTTGCATGCTGTGCATGCGATTAGTACAACTCCTTCTCTACGTTTTCTTTTATTAATTATTTATTTCTTCTTTTGCAGCTCTCCAGCTTGCGGGCTGCTCTGTCTGCTACGTTGAAGGTGGAAGAAGAAGCGAAGGCCAAACAAATTGAAATGGAGGAGGGTGAGTTTTGTAAAAGTTAATATTAATTAAATTCAAATGTTAAAATGAAGTTGATGAAGTAAATTCACTGTTTTGTTTGTCTCTCTGCAACAAACATATACACATGAACATCTATTCTTGTTAATACAATAATATGTGTGATTAATGCAGTTTTTTATGCTTTGTTTCTGCTTTGTTTGTTCAGCAGCACGTGTGGCTAATGCATTTATTTGTGCGTTTATCTGTGTTGTTTAATGCGGCGGAGCTGGGGCTTAATGCATTTCTTTATGCTTCTCTTGTGTTTGTTAATACAAGAAAGTTTGTGATTAACATTTATTTGTTTTGCATTTGTTTCTGTTTCCCAGTACGACATGATTTGCAGTCCATGCATTTATTTATCTATTTATTTGTTGCATGTGTGTGTGTCTGTGCATTCATGTAAAAATGCATTTTGTTTTCTAATAAGCCAATGTATGCATTTACTTCATTTGTTAAACTCCTTTTTAATGAAACAAAGCGCGTGATTGATGCAGTTATTAATACTTCTGTTTGCATTTGTTTCTGCAAAAAAGCTTGCAATTGATACATTTATTTAAACATTTATTTATGCCTTTCAGAGTGCGTCTCGTTGGAGAAGAGTATATCTGCAGCGCGTCAACAGCTGGAAGACAGCAAAAGCGGAGCCAAGCGGAGGTCAGCATTAATTTGAATTTACTTCTAAGTTTTGTCTTGGGTAAAATTATCATACTTTATTTCTCTTTATAATTAAAGGGAGTTGCTGCTCAGCACACTTGAAGCAACAAGAGAAAACAACGAAAAGAATATTGAACAAACCAAAGAAAGAATAAAAGCAGCGAAAGAAGAGGCTGCGGAGAAGGCAAAGAAGGTATGTAATGATAGACGACTTTATTTAGAGTGCGTGCATTTGCCGAGCTGCAACACTGAATAAGAATTATTTATATTTATTATTGTATTTATCTTTTCTTATTGAGGATCTCCTTCAGCTTAGAGATGCCTTCGACAAGGAAAAGGAGACAGAGCTAGAGAAGGAAAGAGGTGCATTTTAAATTCGTTTAAATTCATTTCTTTCTTTTCATCATTTTGCTTCTTTCTTCGTCTCCACCAACAAATTCAAGTCAAGTGGAGCCAATTAATGAAAGAATTAAATCAAACAAACTCCGCAAAGAGGAAAGAAATCGCAGGCGAAGAGGTAAATTAAAATTCAAATTAGGTTTATACATAACAAATGGTGTTCATGTTATATATACATATGTATATATATGTGCATATATACACATATATAATAACAGCTATATATATATATATATATATATATATATAAGGCTGTCAGCTGCCCTTAGATAAGAATCGTAGACAGACTGCCACTTAAACGCTTTGAATGATGGCGCTGTTTTTATTTATTTATATTTTTAAAATTTATTTATTTATATTATTTATTTTCAGCTTGCGATAAGCGACGAGAATTTCCGGAAGCAAATTAAATGTCTGCGTTTACAACACGAAGAAGAAATGAAAGAATTGAGAGGCCAGGTGCGCATGCAGTATATACTCTAAAGGCAAATAAATAAAGAAGACAAGATCTAAATACACCCTTAATTCACGTATTAAGAGAAACAATTATGCTGTTTAAACTTAACAAGAGTATTAGCATGAAACAATTTCAACTTAATCCTCTAAAGAAACAATTATAATATCTAAATTCAACATAAGAATAACAACAAAAAGAAAAATAAATGGCAGCCCAAACATTCAAACTTTAATATATTTTAATTTTTTTTGCATTTCAGATGGAGGCGCTGAAAGCGAAGGAAATAAAGAGGAAAACAACAACTTTAGGAGACAGAGACGAAGAAAACAGAAATTCAAATAATCAAATTATTTCCAAGCACAACAATTCAAACACTTCACGCAAAAAGATTCACTGCAGACGCCTCGTTGGGTTCGTTGCCTTAGTATATATTTGCTTGATTTCAACAATTTAATATTTATCTTATTCGCTGTACTTGTTCATTTATTTGTTTTACTTATTTCTATTCTTCGCTTCTCAGGCCTGCAGACGGCTCTGGAGCATCTTTGTCGGTGC